CCTGCTAAGGTATATCCTGGATGGAGGAAGTGCTAACAGCTCTGGTAATTGGGTGCCTGCCACCTACACAGTAAACCTGGATTGAATTCCCAGCTCCCAGCTCCCAGCTCTGGCTTGGTCCAACCCTAGCCACTGCAGCCATTTATGGAATGAACCAGCAGATAGGAGCATTCCCTCTCAAACACATTTTTCAAAAGTTTATGGAAAAGGAATTTAAAAATAAGTTTACTTTGGTGCAAAAGAATTTTGAAATTCACATGTATAAAGTACCTTCAAAAAGTTCAAGGAAATGTGCAGTATGAAAAAAGGACTGGATCAAACTCTTTTTTTGCATCAAATTAAACTCATTTTTTAATTCCATTTCCCCACAACCATTGGAAGTACCCTAACATGTACATGGTTTCTCAAAAGTACATACAGTTAAAAAAAAAAAAAGAAAGAAAGAAAAAAGAAAAGTACACACAATGAACAGTGAGAAGACTAAAGATATGGTCTTGTATTCCATCAACATTTGAAGAAAACCCTCAGAGCATTTAGGGCAGCAGCTCTCAGCTGCAACCAAGGGAAAGCAAAGCTGCAGGTCTCAGAGGCTCAGTGACACTGTGGGATGGAATGCAGGTGTGTGGGCTTTGTCTAAGAAGAGATTAGAGAAGTTCCTTTTTTCCTAGCTAAGAAGCACATCAAGGCCGACACGCAAAGATGTGCTCAAGGGGCAACTTCCCTTTCCCAGTCTGCATATCTTATGACCTCCCAAATGCATCTGATAGCTCGGCAGCTGCTTCTGGTCCCAGTGCCTTCCCATGGTACAAGATGCACTTGCTTTGCAGCTGGAGGGGTAAATACGGCACCTGTTGTTTTACCTCGGGGATAAACAGGAAGTATAATAGAGGAGATACCAGGTCAGGATGTGTACTACCACCTACTTCCCACTGATGGAACAGCCTAGAAAATAACTGTCTGCCCACACAACACCAGCACAGGTAAGCCAAAGCTATCTGCTTCTGGCTAGATGGAAAGGTATGTTGTTACCAACACTTCAACATCTGATGACACATTTTTCTCCCTACATTGAGTATATCTTAGCATCACTTCCCGCAAAATCAGTCACACGTTTAAATAAACCCACTAACTTCAAACAACATTTAGATATGTTGTCAAGGATAACATGCTTCTTTTTTCCCAAACAATGGAGCTACTTTCTTTCACTACTCACCATGATAATTTCCCTATCACTAAGTCAAAACTCCCTCCCTAACTCTGGGTTTCATGTCTGCTTGTTTAGCACCAATTACCACAAATCATCAACCTGGTTTGTTTTCTGTTTGTTTTTGTTCTTATTTTGTGCATTGTCTATATCTGATGTTCCTCCCGGAGTTAAGGTGACCACATTATTGATTTTCTGAATCAAGATCCCTTGGAACCTGAAAGAGCCACGACCAGAACTGATGCCGAGATAAGAGATATAAAGGGTGACAGTCCTGGTCACTGAGGTATGGCCACCCTAGCCACATACAAGTTCTACACCCTAGGAATTTGGGATGGACTTTCTCACTCTTGTGCCACTCATGTACAGCATGGGACACCTCCACAGTGCTCACCAAGTCCTTACTGAGTCTTGGCAGTTACCAGCAGAGTGCAGGCAGTGGCTCCTGTGGGTATCTTCCCGACTTCCTCAGGCCTCTATTTCCTCCTTGGGCAGATGGAATTGATCAGGTTGGTTGCTACCCCACTTCCTTGGGTAAAGATTCAGAGAGCTCATCCACACTGTGCTCACAGAGCATCTGGCATGCTGCAGGAGGGAGCACCTAGAAATGCCAGCTGCGACCATCATTCGTCATGTTCAGGTTGTTTTCAGATGGCCTGGGAGGCAGAAGGCTGAGACAGTGGACTGTCTCTCAGTGACAGCAGAGGTCATCCTATAGCTACAAGATGCTGGCCTGTCCATGTGACCCTCAAGTGAACCCACACCAGCACCTAACCTATGGGAGCCCGATTCCTAGGGAGTGGCCTTTTTTACAAATACTTCTTTTTATCTATTTGAAAGGAAGAGTGACAGAAAGCTGTATCTTCTACTTATTGGTTTACTCCCCAAATGCCCCCACAAGAGCCAGGGGTAGGCCCAGCCAAAGCCAGGAGCTCAGAACTCTCTCTGGGTCTCTGATGTAAGGTACAGGGATTCAGCTGCTAAGGTCTTCATCTGATGCCTCCCAGGATGAATTCACAGAACAACCAGATCAAAAGCAGAGCAGCCAGGCCTTGAACCTGCACTCTGATATGGGAAGCTGTCATCTCAGGCGGTGGCTTTACCTGCCTCACCACAAGGATGGCAAAAGGAAGCAGCCTTTTTCTAGTAGTCAAAGATGGCAGGGTAGGGGTGGTGGGTCAGTAAAGAACCAGCAATCACCCTGACAGGAAGAAGGAGTGGCATGCATGTCAGTGTGCACACACATACACACCTGCCCTCACCCCCTCCCACACACATACTACACCAGCTTCAACAAAGGGGAGCACCTGAGTCCTGGTGTCCACTGCTCCCCAGCCAGCTACATTTCTGCCTCTCCTGAAGGCTATTCAGGCAACTCTCTTGAGGATCCACAAGCCAAGAGCCTCCTCTTTGGCCCACACCTCTTGGAGTTGCCAAGTCTAATCAAAGGGGCTCATGAAGGCAGCGTGTCTGGTATAGAGCCCACAGCAGTGTTGGACAGAATCAACAATCTAATACACACAGGCTTACACAAGACTGCTGGTGTGGCCGAGGCCAATCAACGGGCACTGAGGCCCACCCTGTGCCAGCACTGAGCTCAGGACCGGCTGGCAATGTCACATTTGTCCCTTATGGCCACTCTGAAGTGGACACCGTCTTTGCCCCCGTTTTATAGGTAAGACACAAAAGCAGCCTTGCCTAGGCCACATAACAGGTACATCAGATGTCATTATTGACCTCCTAGCAGCCCTTCCATCCAGCTGATGAATCTAAGCCAATGAGTGTGCAGCACTTCTCAGGCAAATGATATTAGACCAAGAATGGGAGCATACCCTACACTGGGCAGCCAAATTGCAAGTAAGAATGCTACTTTGTCACTGAGTTTCCTGCCTTTCTTGCAAAGGGGAACCTGCTGCCAAAGGAAGCTAATGTTAAAGTTGGCATAGCAACAGAGGTATCAGATTAAAATGCAGGAGGTCCAGATACATTTTAACCAGATAGACCATGATTATTGTTTTAATACACTTTCCTCCATAACACCTTCCAGGACACAAAAATGTCTTCACTACCAATGTGAAATTCAAGTGTGCTTGGACACCTTGCATTTTCTTTACTAAATATGACCCAGTGCAAAGAACAAGTCCATACAACTCCATGAAGCCACAGGGCACACAGCCCCTGAAGCTTGTCCTGCTTTTGAATCCCTAGTTCTAGAAGAGTTCTAGAAGGTGACTTATTCCTTCAGTGTTTAAGCAAGTCTGTCATTGGCATCACAAAATATCCTATCTCATACAGCAAATCAATGGTTCCAACCCAGACAGGAATGCTACAGGGCCCATGTTCTCACTACCGTACTAAATCCTAAAGGGCCGGAAACTAAACGCCATATTAAGAACTACAATGCCAACATGTGGGGCACTGATCTTGTATTTTAGGACTATAAGAAAGCAGCTTGACAGATTTTACTGGAATTAATCAGATTCTCCTCAGTCAATGTAAATTTCTGTTATAAAGTCACAGAACGTGAAAGCACTTAAAACTGTAAAACTCCTTCATGAATACTAACAAACTCCGGCATCGCACCACGCACGACTGGTTACAACCATCAGAAACACCTAGCAAGTCAAGATTACAGAGTCCAATTTTTACACAGCAATGATGAATTCCTATGTAATTTTCTTTAGCAAAAAACATTAATTAACTCCACAGAAAAACCTGATTTTAGATCAGATCTGGAACGTTATAAAATAATCACAGGAAACAAGATGAGAGTGTAGAAGGAGCGGCATTAAATGCTTGCAGGAGTAACAACACAGTGAGCTGTTATTTAAGGAACAAAGTCCTTAGGAGACAGGCATGCTGTTCAGGACCAAAAATCCGCAGGTGACACACCCAAGGATTTTCCATGGGGTGATGGTGCAGCATCACAAAAGAGGATACCACGCCTCTCTGGATCAAGCATGACCACTACGAAGAGTCCAGACAAGCTCATGTCCTCTTCTGCACCCACAGCTCTGAAGCTTGCACAGGTGCAGACACCCCCTCAAGCACACGGGACTCACTGGCATTTACAGTGTCATCGCCTGTGCTCCCACTGAGCCCATCAAAACCTGCCATGTGGGACACATCTGTGTAGAAAAATTGAAGTTAAAGAAAACTCTACTGAAGATACCAAGGGACCTTGGAATGGGAGGTGGAGAGAAAGAGACAAGACAAAATTAAAGTATATAATTGAACAAAACTTTATAATCACAATATCAATAGGACATGTGTGTGTGTGTGTGTATAGAATCAGAATAAAACTTGGTAAAATGCTTCTAAGTTTTTATTTGAAAAAGTAACAAATAAAAACTTCTGAAGAAGGGACAAGAAAGAGATCAGCACAGGCAGAGATTCAAAGAATAACTCAGAAAAACTTATGTTAACAAGGTACAAGCACAGGACAAGCTATGAAGTTCAACAGGACAGGACAGGAAGCCCAGACATAGATTCGTGTACATAGATGGCCTCCTCCAATTATAGAAGTGGGTATCTAAAATCAGTGGTCAGCAAACGGACTCATCACTACACAGTATCAGCTACCCAGTAAGAGGGAGCAAGCAGTGAGTGGCTTGTGAGTTTCAATGGAAGGTGGCTTTTAAAGCTGGACATGGCAAAACCTGAAGGACAGGACAGTATGTGCATTCATCCAACAGAAAGGTGTGGCAGCCATGAGCTTTTGCTTTCCCCAAGCGCTTACTGCACAGGATCTTTAATGACAACACCAGAGTTACCCAAGGCCAGGGACAATTCTCACCTGCTTTCTCTTCTCAGGGGGCAGCGATGGATCGCCATCCTGAAAAGAAAACAAGTTTTACAATTTATCTGTTTAAGTTTCAATTAATTGGTTATAATTGTATTTACAAGGGAAGATAAACAAAGATCTTCCATGTCCTAGCTCACCCCTCAAATACCTGCAACAGCCATGGATGGGCCAGGTCAAAGCCAGAAGCCAACCCAATCCACATCTCTAACACAGGTAGCAAAGACCCAAGAACTTGGGTTGTTATCTGCAGTCCTCCGGGTGTGAACAGGCTAGGAATGGATGTGAAGCTGAGACCTGACTCCCCCACTCCAGTGGGGTGCACATGACTCAGTGTCTTAAAGGCTGAACTAAATACCAGATCTCATTTTACTTTAAAAAAAATAGACATGGTAAAATTCAAGGAGTTGGATATAACCTAAAATCAGACCCTCCTCATCTCTACCACTTGGCAACCAGTAATATGCTGCACCAAGCTCCAATGCACTTGAAAAAAAAAAAAGAGAGAAAAAAGCATAAACTCAGCCTGAGTTATTTTGGGAATACCCCTAGGGAACAAGTTCCAATTAGGACGAAACCTCTATGTTTTTCCAAAACTGTGCGAACAACAACCATCAATATACCATGGATTTATTAAAATTATGTATGATCAGATTCTAAACTGAAATAATGCTTCATTTGGTTTCAGTTTTTCTATTAAATAGATTCAAAAAATCTCTCTCTTTCTCTTACACATACACAGAGGGAGAGAGAAGTTTTCTCTATAGCAAAATAATGGGGTAGGGAAAGAGCAGGGACAGGGTTTGCTCCAAATGAAAGAAAATTGAGAACTTCTACTGTTATTGGACTTTTAAAATTCCTCTCCCTTTTGTGAAATCTGGGAATATAAATATTTCAGCTGGAAAAAGTAAATGCTCACTAAACACACACTCATTACTGATGTCCTATGTATGTATATATACATTCATATATGCATATATATAAAAATTACCTTAATATGAGCAATCTCTCTATTCCAGTTTTATTCCAAGAAAGTTCAACAATCCCAGCAAGTTTGCAACAATGTTAACACTTATAAATAGATCATATCAACGAAACAAGAGCAGTAAGAATTCAAACTAGCATTGTGCAGTGGGTATCCTCAACACCGCAGCAGGCTGTTGTTCAACAGAACTTGGCAGTGACGGAGCTGTTCTGCCTCTCCACTCTCCGACACAGCAGCCACAGAGGACACGTTCTTTATGTGGCCAGCAGCCACCTGTGGCAACTGAGCCCACAAAACATAACCAGTGGGCCCAAGGAACTGTGCTGCTTCTTTTAACTTAATCCTAATTATTTCAAAATTAAAGATAAATATGCATGTGCAGCAGATAACCCCTGTGTTAAAGACTATACAGAATACATATCCCCTTATAAAACAAATGAAGCTCCTGGAGAATAAAGGAGCCATGGGTACACAGCTCCTGGGCACCAGAGCAGGTAGGCAGCCTGGAAACGTGCACACAGATGAGCCACTGGGGCGAGGTTGGCAGGAAATAGGGGTGGCATCTCCCACTTCTGAATTTTTTTCCCCTTGAACCACTTGCATCCAGCAATTTTCTGAAGAAACAGCTCATGAGGATTCCCTCTTTCTGTCTTAATGGACAGGATATTCAGTGACGTCCTACTTACAATCAGCTCTCGGTATTTCTTCTTCAGGGACTGGTGGCGCTCCCGCAGCTGGTTGGCCATGAGTTTGTACTGGTCCCGTTCCTGCTGGCAGGTGTCTAGTTCCTTGGAGAGGATCAGAAGCGCTTCCTTCTTACTCTCTAGCTTCCTTTTACACACCAGGTACTGCAAACAGATCCGAGCAACAGGTTAGCACCCACCCTCAGGCCTCGGCTAAACACACACTGTGCAAAACACACTTTGCCCCAGTCACTTCTGCTGGGCATACGCTAGGGACATTTGTCCATAAGTGACATGACTATAAAGGCTGGCACTACAGCACCCAACATTAGTCTAGAACCTCGGATGTTTAGGAATCTGGACAAATGGCAGCAGATAAAATCATTTAATTGGAGAATACGTTAAAACAGATTTTTAAAAATTATAAGATGGGCAAAGAAATGACTAAATCTCCAATTTGATTTTGAAAGGATATGTATCTGTCTATATAAACAATCCAGAAGGTTTATGGAAAAAGGAAATAAAAGTATAAGTTATGGCAGGTGTTTGGCCTGACAATTAGACACCAATATCTCACATATGAGAGTCTGATATGAGCCCTGGTTACACTCTAAATTCCAGTTTCCTGCTAACGTGTATCCTGGGAAATGACGAGTGATGGCACCAGAGCTTGGATTCCTACCCCTCACCTGGGAGACCCAGAGCAAGCTCCCAGTCCTGGCCTTCAGCCTGACCCAGCCCTGGCTGTTGTGGCACTTCCAGAGCAAACCAACAGATGTACGACTTTTCTGTTCGTGTCTTCTCTGTCTCTCAAATATTTCCGAATAGGAGCTTAATGTGGTCCAAAACAATTCTAGTGCAAAAGAATTCTGTTACATAACATGTATGCATTATGAATATTATGAAAAAGTTATGTATGGGTTTAGATTTATTTTCTTGTACCAAAATATACCCATATATTTAATTCAAATTTTTCATGAATATTTGAATATTTAAACATACACATGTTTAAACATACACATATATGTGTGTGTGACTAGGCAAGAATATGTAAATTAAAATCTTACAAAGTGATAAGCATATTTAATTAGAACTTTATAAAAATGTTAACTATAATTTTATTAGTAAAATTATTTAGTCATTTTTCTTTGTTTTTCTGCATTTTCTAGATTTTCTAGGATCAAGCCATTAAAATACTCAGAATATTATTACAAGTAATTTAATTGAACCATACTCGGTACTAGATTGTACCTACCCACGTGACCCAACAGACTTTTTTCACTTGCAGGCATGTACGATAATTTGGCTGTCTTATGTCAAACTCCTTCCAAGAGTCAAACGTAAACACCACTCAGAGGCCAAGTGTTCCAGGCACACAAAGAGTTGGGGTGCTGATCTGGCAGGAACACTTGTCTCAGAGCTACAGCATATCCTGGCACCCCCCCCGCCTTTGTAAACACAGTCCCCCAACCTGACAATCAGCCACCCACCACACTGACCGGCAGGAACCCAGTGAGAACTTTCTACTTTGATTGAATTTAGTGCACCGACTGTTGTTATTCGTGTATGTGAAATGTGGCACTAAATACCTTTTGAATTTGCCCCGTAAAAGACCAAATTCAGAGCATTCATGAAAACAATTTATAGTTTCATTATACACTCTGACATGAGTACTTTGTCATTACGGACGCTCACACAAAGCAGGGAGAGAGTCAGCACTCCCATACCATTTGAGTCAATGCTTTTTTACGGACAAAAAGCATTACTCATATATAGTGCTTGCTTGGAACTGACTTTGTTAAGTTCAATTTCAAATAAATGAAAGGGAGAAAAAAAGAGTTTTGTGCATTAGCACATTTTTTTTTCTCTTGTGAAAAAAAAAAGTAATTGCTTAGCTTCAAAAACAAAGGGGAAAGAAAAGCCGTTTCTGAGCTGGATTTGAGTTCTAAGGGAGGACACTCCCACCTTGGACAGATCTCATTCCTTGCAGTAATGAGGTTGGAATCCTGCCTTAAAATGTCCTGGATTTCGAGGCTTTGACATCGTCTTCGTGGTGGCAAAATGGTTCTGTTGCCACAGTGATTTCTCAAGAGTAAAATCCCCAACAAGTAAATATCAGAGGAGAGTAGCTAAAAAAGCTCAACTGCAATGTCCTAAGGGAAGTATTGAGATTTCACAGGAAAAAATACCATTTACACACAATTTAACAGATCTGCCCTGGTTCCTCCCCAGCTTTTTCTGTAGTCAGCAAGGCTTGGCTGCCAATGCCATGGGGACCTAGGGCACGAAGAGGGCCACCTCCTTCCTTTCAATCGACCAGATTCAAACCTGCCACCCAAAGATACTCCAGGTCCTCAACTTTAGTGAAAAAACATGTCAACTGCATGGAAACACCTCAGAGGATAAGCTTAGAGGTGCCTACAGGGGACAGGTAAGGACCAGCACCTTCTGGCATGATTTTTCCGTTACATGATTTTCAATGTCAATCTCTTACTCTCAGATGCTAGTCAAAGTGGGCCACAGGGGCGAGAAGGAGTGTTGGTAAACCTCTCTTAAACCTGCTCCCGCGTTGCAGGAACCTTATGGACTCCAGGCACAGACGCCTCTGCAGAGCTCCAGCGGCCGGAGATCTGAAAAGGAGGCTTGAGGGTGTGGGAAGCAGAACAGTTACGGACTCCCTCATAAGCTAAGAAAGCTACTGCATCCCATAGTTAGCGAAGCCACTCCAATAAAAGGACGTTCTTTAGAAATATTACGGACCAAAGCACAGACTTCCATGCATTTCATTCTATGTTATTTATTTTTATTAGCAGATAAAGAAAACATTAGGCTGAAGCCTCATGTGTAAAACAGGCTCCAAGTGAAGCTGTGCTGAGCGGGGCTGGGACACCTTTGCTGCAGAGCTGCCCAACGAGGGCTCCTAGAAAACACTGCCGCACTGCAGCTTGGGATGGTGGTTCCAATGCAGATTGCCAGGCTCCAGCCAGCACTGTTGAGGCAGAATCTCTGGTGCCTACTGCAGGCAGTTGCATTCTTAACACCTGGTACAGATGATTCAAGATAAGCCCTGTGCCAAGGGACTGGGCAGGGCGGCCTTTGATCCATCTCTTGATAGACCCACGACAAAATACCCATGCAGTGCAAAGGAAGCAGAGGAGAAAACCAATGAGCAGGAAAACCCTGATACCCAGATAACAACAGGCTCCTTGTGCCTGATCTCCTGAAGGCTCTGAAATGGGAAGCCTTCCTATTTCACTGGTTACCTCAACAGAAGAACATCAATAGTGATGTCTATGCTGAAAACAAAACCCTGAATTGGATCCCAGCTGCGGGGGATGACACCGGATGTACAGCCTGCCCACCACATGTCCGTCCAGATTCCCTTAACCTTCTAATAAAATGGCCCTAGAGAGGCTTGAGTGGACACTGAGAGGAAAGATGGTTAGAGAAGATGCTTGAATGAGTCTTGAAGAACAAGCAGCAAGGGTCAAAGGCATTCAAATCAAGACTGTTCGGTAACAGCAATAACCGGCTAGGTTGGAGGCACAGTCCTGATGAATGCCCTACACTGGGCCTGGCACTGTGCTGCAGTGTGTTAGGATGTCTCAATCGACATCAGCATCACCCTGGACCGTGGGATCACATGGAGGCTTCTCTGCTTCCACTCTGGCTCTCCGGTCATAGGCCTGGCAAGGCAGAAGGCGGCCCAAGGACTAAGGCACCTGCTGTTCCCATGGAAGAGCTGGTTGGAGCTTTGGCACCTGGCCTCAGCCTGGGCCAGCCCTGGCCATCGCAGCCATCTGGAGAATGAACTGGCAGGTGGAAGATCTCTATCTCGTCATCACTGCCATTCTGTCTTTCTTTTTCGTTTCTTTATTTAAGTTCACCAAAACAGTTTATTTCCAGTGTTTAACTGGGTATGCACACAGGCATGATGCACGTTTGGATTCATTAAGTCCTCATGCAGAATTATATCCTTCTCGATAAAGAAGCCAGTTCCATCCAGGACACACTATCTACACATCTATTTTACAACATTGATATCAAATCTGGTATCATTTAAGTCACGTAGTTTACAGAAAGATTAAAAAGTCAAGTCACACAGAAACTCAAAAAAACTGTCTTAAAAGTTTGAATATAAAACTCAGATCCACCTGGAATGACTAAAGAACCGAAGTTCTGTATCCACCTGTGTTAAAACCGGGCCATGAGATGAAGCTCGTTACTGACAAGGTGCGCTCGCAGACTCACGGCACATTATCACACGTCACCAATATGCCATCCCATTTTTCAAAAAATTAAACAAATTAATATTTTGAAAAAATACTTGTCCTGTCAATTTACTGTGAGCTTGATATATAGCATGCTGGGTTAAAAGGCTGTGTAAACTTTTGTAAAAAAAAGTTAACCTATATATTTTTTTAAGATTTATTTTTATTGGAAAGTCAGATAAACAAAAAGGAAGAGAGACATCAGTTGATTCACTCCCCAAGTGCCGCAATGGCTGGAGCTGTACCTATCCAAAGCTAGGAGCCAGAAGCTCTTCCGGGTCTCCCACATGGGTGCATGGTTCCAAGGCTTTGGGCCATCCTTGGCTGCTTTCCCAGGCCACAAGCAGGGAGCTGGATGGGAAGTGGGGCTGCCAGGACACAAACTGGTGCCTATATGGGATCCTGGCACATGAAAGGCAAGGACTTTAGCCACTAGGCTACTGTGCCAGGCCCAACATATTATTTTTATAGCATTTAAAACTAACACCGCGCTTTCATGGACTGTTTCTCATTTGTTAGTTAACACCTCTCCAAGAGGGATGAGAGTTGTCTTTCCTGCTTTAGGGGACAGAATAGCTAAGTGTCAAAAAGGTTAACTGTCTTTCTAAGGGCCCTGATACTAACAGCTGCCAGCTCACCCAGAATGTCCCCCTGCACACAAGCTCTTTTTGCTCTTCTAGATTGGCACCAAACAACAACAATAATAAGAGCAAAGCAACATGCTACCTGTCACATTTTCAACAAGGTATCACTAACAAGAACTCCGATTCAAACAAAAGCACTGGACCCGACCGCAGGGCCTTTGCACCACCATTCCCTCTGTGCTGGACGTGTCCCTGGCTTCATCCCAGCCTCTGTGGTCACACCCCTTCCAGGATGCTCACGCCT